ATTATATCGGTCTCCTCTTACTACGTGTCCAAAATAGGCCATCTTTCTAATTAAATAGAATTTTATGATGTATGATATTTTTCGGCTTTCGTAAAAATATCGGTAGCGAAAGAACTAAACTGCAGAAAAGTTTCAATAATGGACACGTTCTATTATTTTAGATGGTCCTCAATTCCGCACGAAGCCAAAATCTGTTCAAGCTGATCTAGGGGCGAGTGTAACGCTCTCTTGTGATGTGGACGGCAATCCAATCCCAGACATTTCTTGGTTTCATGAAGACCAGAAGAAAATTGTTAGTACCAGTGCCAATTTAACATTAAGGATAGACCACACGACAGCTGGACGATACTACTGCAAAGCTAGAGTTGCAGGATTCCCTGAAATTGGCGCAGAAGCAGCTGTGTACCTTAAAGGTCAGTGTTGTGCGTTTATCAAAAAGAACTCTTAAACTATATTTATAATGTTACTAATTTGTATTTTCTCTATAGGTCCTCCATCGATTGTAAGTCATAGAACCCAATTTGGCATAGAAGGCGACAACGTTCGTGTCGAGTGTACAGCTTTCTCCATTCCTGCTCCAGAACGCGTTGTTTGGACTTTTAATGGACGAGAGGTAGATCTGCACGATCAAGATTATTCCATATTAGAGGATCCTCTCCCAGAGGGTATCAAATCTACGCTTATTATCAGAGAATCTCAAGAAAAACATTTCGGAATGTACAATTGCAGCGTATCGAATCCATATGGTAGCGATGTTGTCGAGATCAGCCTCATGCCACAAAGTAAGTTATCATTTTTATTGTTTATTGCATCTGTACAGTATTAACTCACAGATTTTTTATTTAATTAATTGGATTTAGGTCAAGTAAATTGATAAACAATAGTGGATTTAGAATAGAAAAATATTGGGTATCTGCTCGTAGTCGGCCTTGTATATTTATGGTGAATTATGTATTTCAGCGACTTATTATAAAGAGATACTAGGATTTGTTAGACCTGTGCTGACACAGGCCCTCTTCCTCTATCGTTTCTCCTTCGTAAGGATGTAGTGGTGTCATATAGTTATTTGACTATTTCTGTCCAATTATCTCTCTCCTGTGCGTGTTGTTTTGCTTTGGAAAATGAGTAACCATTCATGTCCTTTATTTGATACGACCATCGTACTGCTGATCTTCCTCTGGATCGTTTACCCGCTAGGTTACCTTCAACTATCATTCGCTCCATGCCTTTTTTTTTTGTGAGTTTGGCTGTTGCTGATCTGGCCATTGTGATACGTCGATGGATCTCGTTTTCGCATCCTCCACTGTTAGTAATAATGGATCCTAGGTAATTTAATTGCCTGACCACTTCATAACCTGCCAGGTTTCTTATCTCTGCTTGGTTGTTCCTGATTCTATCGATGATCATCACTTTGGTTTTCTGCATATTTATTTTCAAACCATGTTCCGTACTCACCGTACTCTTCCTCTTATCGCTGCTCCACCTTGCCATTTCCCAAAACCTTGACGCATAATATGTTCGCTATATATATTGAATAGAATAGGGGATATTATGCATCCTTGTCGAACTCCAGATTTTAATTTGAAGTTTTTCCAAACCACATTATTATTTACATACAGTTTTTGTAATAAATAGATTAGATGTTCTGGCGTACCCATTCTCTAAGTATATGCCACATTTTATCCCATTTTACGGTATCAAAGGCCTTGGAATAGTCAACATAGCATAAATATGTCTATATGTTAAACTCTCAAACATTTTTCGAGAATTTGACGAATATTAAGAATATGTTCTCTTGTTCCCCTATCTGGGACGAATTCGCATTGTTCTTGGAGAATTTGTGGTAAGGGAATTGATTTTAGTCTTTCACTGATGATGGTAAGAAATACTTTGCTCACGTGTGATATCAATGCTACTGTACGGTAATTACTGCAATCTGTCGGTGAACCTTTTTTATATATGGAATAAACGTGAGTTTATCCCAATTATTTGGCCACTTTCCGGTATTCCAGATCTCATCGCAAAGTCTAAGCATTACTTCCGTCCCTAATTTTCCCATTTCTTTGAGTGTTTCAATGGGATTCCATCTTCTTCTGCTTTTCTGAATGTTAGCTATTTAATTGCTCAATTTCTGATCTCAATATTTGAGGTTCTTTTTCATAATTTCTTTTCTTTGTATTATTGTCTGGGGCGTTTTTAGAGAATAGTATTTCGCAATATTGTTTCCACATCTCTGTGATACCGTCTGGGTTTGTTATGGTATTTTCACTATTATCTTTGATGATCTGTGTCTGTGGTTTGAATTCTCTCGCTAGATCTTGACTTTTGAAAAAGTTCTCTAGATTCTTGACGGGCAGCATGTTCTCATAGTTGTACACATATGTTTTTAGTATAATTATTTTTGTCCCTTCTGCACAAGTGTTTTATAGTTGTATTTATGGTACATATCTCTATTTCTTGTTGTTTTGAATTCGATGTGCCGTTTTTAAGTTTTCGTCTTTCTTCTAGGTATATTTTTACAGCAAATAGTTAATTAGTTTTACAGTAGAACTCAATTGATTGTTCAACTGATTTATACAAATTATTTTAAATACTGTACCTTTAAAGAAAATAATATTAATTGCTTTATTTCGTTTTGCAGAAAGTTTTCCAATGCTGATCATCATTGTCGGTGTTGTTGGAGCCATAATTATTTTGATAATTATAATTATGATTGTGTTTCTTTGCCAAAGGCAAAGTAATAAGAAGCCACCTCCAGAGAGTAAGTATAAAATCAACATCTCCTTGTTCTTTAGTATTTGTAAATTTTAGTTAATATAAAATGTCTTATATATAATTTTCTTTGTGTCTGGAAATAAGCTAATGTCATCTGTCATTTTTTAAAACTGCTTCTTTACATAATATTATCATTATCTTTTTTCTCATTTATTATAACATTCTAGAACATCGTTTTCTTCTTTATATTCTCTCTTTATCTTACTGTTCACTGTTCATTTGTTATTTTTTATGCTATTTCTAGGATGTCGTAATGCAGTGCTGCTTTTCAAAAAGTCCTACTTTTTTACGCTGGTAAAAATATGAATGGAATTGCAAATAAAAATTCAGATATGTAGACGATATCATCCTCATCGCACAAAATCTTATACTTACAAATACTTTCGTGAAAAATAATAAAAAATAAGGAGAATATGGTAGAATTATTTACACAAAAATATATAAATTAATAAATAATAAAGACATTTAGACCTCTTCGTATTTAGTGTCCTCTTCTACGGAATATACATCTGGAGTCTCACAGAAGATGGCGTAAAACGATTAGAGGCATTTGAAATGTGGTGCTGCCGAACGTATGTTAGTATATACACCACGCAACTAAAAAATCTATTCTCCAGATGTTAAGAAAAGGCAAAGAAATTGTTAACAGTGTACAGAACAGAAAATTGGCTAACTTCGGCTACATTATGCGTAATAATAAATACAGACTTTTACAGTTGATTGTACAAGGCAAGATTAAGGACAAAAGAGGATCTGGACGTAGACTTATATCCTGACTGGCCAAACTCAGGAAATGGACTGGTCAAACATATTCTGGTCTATTTCGAGCTGCTGTGAATGATGATGACACTGTAGTCACTAACATCACCAGAAGAAATGTAGCTTTAAAAGAAGAAGAAAGAGATTTAAGCAATGAATAAAATAGCCAGTATAATGATAGTTACAGTTAGGTAAAAACATTAAAATTATTGAATTTGGAAGGATAATAAAAATATAGTGAGTACATAATATATAATCCTAAATAGGGAAATTCAAACGGAAGAAATAAAAAGAAGAAGAAAGTTAGCTTGGGCAGCATTCGGTAAACTGAACTATATACTCAGAAATCAACAATTCAATTACATCTTAGATCTAAAGTTTTTGATGCATGCATTATTCCGATATTAACTTATGCGGCACAAACATGGACAATCACAAAAAAGAATATGAATATACTTAGTCACTCAACACGCGATGGAAAGAGCAATGCTAGGTATATCACTTAAGGACAAGAAAACAAACACATGGATAAGACAGAAAACCAAAGTCACCGATGTGGTGCAAAAATCATAAATGCATAAAAGTTGAAATGGGAATACGCTGGACATGTAGCTAGGAGCGATCTAAACAAATGGCACAGATCAATTTTAATCTGGAGACCATACCAGACCCAGAGGCAGGCCTCCTATGAGATGGACAGATGATCTGAAAAGGACTTCCGGGAAAAATTGGCTACAAGTAGCGTACAATAAAAAACAATGGAAAGGAAGACTTGAAGAGGCTTATGTTCAGATGTGGACGTGAATGGCTAGACGAAGAAGAAGAAGAATATATAATATATAAAAATATTATGTATAAATATTTGACAAAGAATAAAACAAGATGGGGAATCAATATTAACCACTAGATGTCAAAAAATACAATGTGGACGTTTTCTGTACTATATCTTACAAGGAAACATTGTAGAAGAGAGAAAGAGTGGTCAGTCACAACAAACTCTCAAATTGAGTATTTTGTCGAAAAGGGAGTTTGGAGATTATAGGGCTCGTTATTGCTTTAACTTAAAAGTTTCAACCTTCTCTTTCTCAACAATTTCTACTTTCCTATACTGTTTATTACATTGATATTCTTTTATAGTTGAATACTTAAAGAACTTTGATGGTACACAAGGCAAATATCGAACACAGTAGTTAATCAAATCTTGCCCAAGTACTTTCGACCACAAGATCATCCTCAGGGGCATTTCGTCAGTTGTCGATCACAAGATCATCCTGAGGATGATCTTGTGATCGAAAGTACTTGGGCAAGATTTGATTAACTACTGTGTTCGATATTTGCCTTGTGTACCATCAAAGTTCATTTATTCGAACATTCAACCTTATATTGATGGAATACTTAAAGACCCTCTGCTTATTGATAGGATAGGTTTTTTATAAGTTGCTATTGTTTTAACAGACTCCAACACAATGGAGAAACAGTGCAAGGAATCAGACCGAAGTTCCAACATCTCAGATCTCAAGCTGGATCTGAGGACAGGATCTTCCAATAGTAACGTTCACTGTGATATGGATTACATTCCAGGAGCTGAATCAGAAACCGGCAGCGAGTCTGTCATTACCAGAATAGGTGTTCCTTTAGCCGGGCCTGTTAATGTTCCTGGGCAGGATATCTACAGGTATTCTGCGGACTACACGGAGCCCAACTTCCCACCAAAGGTAACAACTGTATTCTAGAATAGAGTCTTTTCTTATCTTTTGGAAATAAACATCAAAATGTAAAGTAAATTTTTATTATTAATGTGTGAGTTTCAGGTAGAGATATAACAATAAATATCTTATTTAATAATAGATAAAACCTTTAGGTATATAAAATGTTTATTATTTTTTTTTTTTCAGGATGGTCAAAATAACAACGGCTATGTTCCGTACGTGGATTATGCGCGGGATTATAACCCGCCGATGATGCAACCTCCAATATCTTCCTCATTGGATCATACAAGGGAAAGCCTTCAGTCTACTCGTCTCCAACTAAACTCCCTCCAAAATCATCAACTTCCGGTCTCGGGGTCCAGTTTGCCGTTGAACGACCTCTCAGACTTGCACTTATCTCATCAGTCCATTCCCAACGGGGGATTGCCTTCCATAGATCCGCGGTTTAGCGCAACTTACGGTAAGATATCTTCTTTATACTTGTAATCATCACAGTGACTAGTTTGATGTCCATTTTTACAATATGCACAGAGTGGAGGTGAACTAGTCCTTGCTTTAAAAAAACTTATACACTTAATAAAATCAATCAAATATCAAATCTATTCTAATATCGAATCAAATGGAATCGAGTTGAGCCGAATGAAGTTGAATCGAATATCGAATCATATCAAGTACATATCGAATCGAGTAGGAATAAAATGAAATAAAATATAATGGAATTAAGTTAAAAACCATCGCTCCGAAGATTAGAAAACTATGTTTCCTCTCCCCTCCGGTCACTCCGGGAATGTCAAATCTCGTTTTTATTGATTTGATGTCATAAAGCGCGATTTTTAAATTTTCATATTTGATAAATTTGTAACTTTGTGGAAAGGTCCGACACTGGATTTTACCCTACAATTCTGCTTTAATACCGTTGATGGAAACAGGTGCATATTGACGGTCGTTATTTGGAGCCAAACATAATGATGACATAATGTACAGTGAGTCTAATTGACCAATGTATGCTGCAAACAAACACGATCCAATTTTAAATAAAAATTTCGAAATTTTATTTGTCAAATTTTGTTTTTTGCTGACATTTTGAGATGCGACAATCTTCTTCCCAAATAAGTAAAGAAAGATTTAATAAGAAAGAATTCCGAAATATGTGTGATTAAATTTAATACATTATATGAATAATTTAATAACATTATTTGTTTGTGAGCTTGAAGTTGCACTATTGGCATATACTATAGCTGCAAAAGACGCCAGTAGATGTTAATCTAGTATGTGCAATTCGTAGTCGTCTGAGAACTTACTACATTTAATGTTCTGAACATCTTCAGAGATATTTAAATGTATATGTATACCTTGAATTACTATATGGTTCTTCAATACATGCCTTGGAATGAATATAAATTGAGTTGACACATGTTTAAAGTCAGCAGAGATAGCAAGAAAACCATTAGTCGGTGTTAATAATTGTATAATGTGATGTATATCCGACTTAAGAATTATCTGTGATACTTAAGCAAAGGATAAGAACCAAAATTACAGGAATATATATATATAGTCCCAAGATTCCTAAGAGGAACATAGGGCTTCCACAAAGTGTCTCCAGCGAACTCTATTTCTGGCTAGTGCTTTGATTTCAAGCCAGGATTTTCCCATTTTTCTCCCTTCGCTTCGTCCAGTACTGTCCTTCTCCAAGTTCCCTTAGGTCTGCCTACTTTCCGTCGGCCTTGGGGATTCCAATCCAGCGCTGTCCTGGCAATGTCATTTGGCGGTCTACGGAGTGTGTGGCCCAGCCATCTCCATTTTCTTCGCCTTGTTTGCTTTATGACATTTTCTTGGTTGCTTTGGTTCCATAAATTTTCATTGGAGATTCGGTTAGGCCAAAATATACGAAGGATTTTTCGTAACGCTCATTGATGAAAACTTGTAATTGGTGTACTATGGGTGCTGATATCTTCCACGTTTCGCAGCCATACAGTAATACAGCTTTTACATTTGTGTTAAAGATTTTTAATTTCGTTTTAGTTGGGTAAATCCTGTATTTCCATATGTTGTTAAGCATGTTGTAGGCGTTGCGAGCCTTATTTATTCTTTCATGTACATCACGCTCTGTACCCCCATTACAGTCAATTATGCTGCCCAGATATACAAATTCCGCTACTCTCTCAATTTTCTGGTCGTTGATCATAATAGGTTGGTTGTTTCTGATACCAAATCGCATTTCTTTGGTTTTGTTGATGTTTATTTCTAGACCAAGCTTCTTTGATTCTTCTTGTACTTTGTTTACTTGGAGTTGCATGTCCTGTTTTGTATGTGCTAGGAGGCATATATCATCAGTCTTCCAGTCTGTTTGTTAATCCCCAGTAAATTCCTCTATTAGAATTTACCTTTGTTAGTACGGAGTCCAGTACAATGTTAAATAGTATGGGGGATAAAACACAGCTCTGCTTTACTCCGTTTAGCATAGCTATTGGGTCAGATGTTATGCCGTTGTGTAGGATTTTGCTTTCTGTGTCACTGTAGAATTAGAGTAAAATTACAGGAATGGTGTGATAAATTAAATAATTTTTTATGACATTTTGAGAAGGATTTGATATAACCAGGGAAGCCGAAAATAAAGTGGGTCCGCTTTGCAAAAACTGATAAGGTACTACATGCTCAGAAAGAGATTAGAAATTATGCGTGGAATCCGACAAGGCTGCATGCTGACACCTCTTGTTCAACTTATAGTCTGAAGAAATCTTCCGGAAATAGATATCGTATTTTGTATCTGTCATATAGCGAGTCATCGAGCTTTTTAAGTTTATAATATCGAATAAAAACTGCAACGGAAAAAAGGAATAAAAACATATTTTAATATAATATCTTCTTATTTCTATAATGATACCTTATTCTGTTGGAACCATGGACGTATAAACACAGATGGACTCAGTTATTTACATAAAATTGTGTAGTCAAAATTATTTGAATAGGCCACATTCTCAGCACCTTCAACTGTCACGTTTTGTTTTAAAATTAAAATATTAAAATATTACTCCGTATTTTATACTCTACAGATGCTATCAAACCAAAATAATAATTTATTGGTTAGATTAATATATTTAATTGTAATCAAAATATCAAGTATGTATATAGTTTGCATTATCATTTAATAATAGCGTATAATATATATCAATCAATTATTTTATATGTAGAAGCACTGAAAATATTTATAAATGGCAACGGTTGTTTACATTTCTCTGTCTTATGGATCTACGTCAAACTTCAAATGCTGTTCCATGTTTGTTTACTTTTTACAGTAGATGAGTAATATTTAAGTAGTATATGAGTAGTATATAGATGAGCAGTATATTTAATTATATTAATTTTAAAGCAATTAAAATTGTATTTTAATTTTTCTATAAAGACGTGATTTGTTAATAGTTAAACTCTCGTTTATTTTTAATTCTTTGAACGTGTTTTTATACATTATTACTACTTCCAATTTTTAAAATCTGAATAATTACCCGCGAGTAAAAATTCAATTACGCTTATGCTCATTGCGGAAGCATCACATTCTATCGAAGCTTCAAAACATTGTGTGTTAAAGGTATCTTATTGCTGTGTCCATCTATGTTTATTACGTCCATGGTTGGAACATTGTGGTTCCATACCTTTCTAAATCTAGCTGTGCTTCTTCTGATGAATGGCTTGTCTCGGGTTATAATATTCACACTGATCCACTTATTTATCTTGTGTATTCTGCACATATTTCTAATCTCATTACTCCTTATTTTAGTCCATTATTTTTATTATTATTATACTTCTTTACATTCTTCTTTCTGCGGTGTGCGTAATCGCAAGCCGGATTACATCATATTTGTAATATTTGTATACCATCGTGTTTCTTCCTATTTTCTATTGTTTGTTTTTTTTGTATTGTGCCGTGTTATCCAGCTGTTCTGCTTGCTATTGTCACATGTTGCCTTACTTCCTTAATTTTACTGACATACTTTATAACCTTTATAGATAAGATATTTTTCTATCTATTCTTTATAGATAATTTATCATGTTCTGATAAATTCCTTAGTCTTAGTAATAAACTGATCTAACATTCTTTATATTCATTGCCCGCTATCAGAACTGGTCATGCTGCTTTTATTTCATGTTCGACATGACATTTTACGTGACGTTTGACGTAAAACATGATATTTTACGTGATACTTGACGTGACATTTTACTTGAGTTTTGACGTAGGATGCTCATGACGCTTGATCTTGAAACACTTAATTATTGTTTCAATGTTTTGGCTATTTGCCATTTTCAATAAGCACTTTAATTATTTAAACATTGCATGATATAGAATTATATTTATAATTATTATAAGTTTAACATGGAATGAAAAATAATTTTTGACTGACTGAATGACTTTGTATTGGGTGTTTCGATGAGCATTGGGGTTTTCTGTTTCGTTGGAAATTATGTTAAAATATGAAATTATGTTAAATTTGAGAGAGTAGTATTGCGTTGTCTACATAGCAGATTATTTTAAGTTTTCCATTTCGTATCCCTTTTTATATTGAACAAGAGAAGACTCAGGCAATCTCGTGTGTTTCGTTTTTATTAGTTCGTTCATCTCATTTCTTTGTCCTCTGATCGTTCTTCATATTTCTGTCTGTGTTCCATCTGTTTCCAGAAACTTTGCCAGTGTTCCCTTGTTATTTGTCTAAGTACAGTATTCGTTTCGTTTTCGTAATGTATTGTAAAAAGGCTTTCTTCTTTTCTTCATATTTTGTCTTCACTTCCTCTCTAAACCATGGGGTTTTCTTTTTGATATCTTAGTGTTTGCTACTTTTCTCTCTCCAAGTGATTCTGTTGCTGAAAAATAAACATTTTAAATACTCTCGAAAGTAAAAATTCGAATATATTTATTAGCGAAACCAAAATTCAGATTTTTGCTTTAACCTGTGCCTTTTATAAATTCGCAAGGCAAAACCAATGATGATAAAGATGTAATGTAACTGCCCTTTCTTTTATTTTAAATATTATTTGTTATTAAATGATAATCTTAAGTTTACATTTTTTTAACGATGATGATTTGTTCACAGGTAACCCCTACCTCAGGAACCCGAGCGTGGGTCTGCCAACGCCCAACACGGCGAATCCCTCGGCCACACCGGCCCCCCCGCCCTACTCCAGGGAGAATTCCAGACTAATCAGTTCTAGTGCCATGATAACCGCCAGTGCCAACGTGGTGAACACAGTGGTGGCGAACGGTTCCAACGGGTCCGTGCCGCAAGTTACTCGTTTGCCGAACTCTCCCACGAGTCAGTACATAGTGCCCAATTCTAATATGGCAACACTAAAACGGGGGACAATGGCGACTCATGTGTAGTGTTTTTTGACTGAAAGTGTACTTTAGGTGAAAATATTAATAATCAAAAGATTTGAACTGGTAAAAAGTCCTGAATGTTGAGTTTTTGGTACATAAAAGTCACTGATTTAATATACGGCACTGTGCTTCTTAGTAAACTAAACAAAACCATCACGACCGATCCAATCGTCATGTGCAATTTTTTATTATTGGTCGTAATAGATTCAATGCATATATTCCTTGTGTTAAAGATTATTGCGATGGATTATTTTATTTTTTTTACATACAGTTGTACACATTTGTTATATTCCTATTACTTATTAAATTAACAATTTCGTCAGTTATTTTATAACTGTCAAATAGTTTCTATAAGCACAGGGCCCTTATGACACAGAATAAATTACAAAATAGAATTCACACGTGGCGGTACCTGTATTCCTGACAGTGTCCAAGCCAATTGACAAGGATCTACAGACCGAGAGTTTGGTACAAATTCCACGGCTTCGCGCAATCGTACTTGTAAGTTCGTGAACTAGTCGACTGGAGTTACAATTTGCCAAATTTAAATGTAATCGTTTCTACTCATTCATATTAATATTATAATGTATAATATATTAATGTTTTTAATATTGGTAATAGTATTAAAGCTTTTAATATTATTTTTTATTATTAATAATAATATTAAGTAATTAAATATTGCGCCTTGCTAAAAAAAAGTACGAGATAAATAACTCGTTTTTTTTATATGAAAGTGCAATTTTCTTGCAAATGCTTGGTTTTTTTGATAAGATAATACAAATTGTATGAAGACTAGCTAAGCTTTGGGTAGTCAGTGGCGAATCTACGAGGAGGGAAAAAGGATTTTCTGAATTTGTCAATACTTTGACTGAGCATACAACCAAGAGAGGATGGAATGTTGTCAGACCATTAACAATATTGAACCAGTAGACAGTAGACAGTAACAGGAAACGATGTAGAATATGTTGTATGGATTAAATTTGAAAAAACACAATTTACGAGTGTGCTGATTGTGACAAAAAAGCCTGCACTATGCATAGGATATTGTTTTCGCTAATACCATTCAACCAACAGATAGATTGCATTTAGTATATTAGTTTAAATAAAAAATTTATTTTCTAAAGAGCTTTTAAAGTCTAAGATTGCCCAGATTTGCAAACTTTTTATTACATTCTAAGCAAGGCACAGTAGATTTACTTTGTTTAACGTCCTTTGGTACTAGTATATGTACCATATCTTAAAAAATTATTGTATGAGGATTACAGATGATACAAATGAGTATTTTTCGGTAACAGTTACATTACGTTCCGGTTCCATGTTCGTACCTGTTCCAAATACTAGTTACTTTTTAACCTAGTATTTTTTACATTTGTACTTCACGTCTATTCCAGACGCAGGTCGCAGTCTGTAAGGAGGGCAATTGTTAACGGAAAAACGAAATCGCTTGAAAGGCAATAAATTAGAGCAATTATCATTTTTAAGTGTTAATTCAAAATTTTTCTAATGTTTTACATATGTTATATTTTGTATTTTGTTAACTACTCGTGTATTATTTTTTAAACGATCTCATTTGTTTTTTTTTGTTATTTTTGTATTAGGTACACGTATCCAGTTTATTTTAGTAAATAATATGTATATTTTAAGAATTACATTTTTATTTAAATAAATATGTTTTACCATAAACAAAATGGTTACCTATTCTATTATAATACAAAATATAAATGGGACTCCACGCCACCCGTAAAAATAAACAAAAGGCATCAATAAGTATCGCTTACAATGTTATATGGGTACTATTATCCCATATCAAATGTAATGTTTATTTGCTTGTTTTTTAATTTTCAATAAATTAAAAAGTTATTTGCACACACAGAAAATTTATATACTCTTTTATTTTAGTTTCATGAAAAATATGTGTTACACTCAAACAAAATCAAATTAAAATACTTCTAGAATAATATAGTAAAAACAAGGGACCAATATTATGATATGAGCGATTTAATACGTTTAATTTCACATCTTATACGCATTTTCACATCGCATACACCACCGTAATAATCCCGACGTCCGAACCGCCAATCCTCAATACCTACAAACCATAACAAACTATTACCTATACCTAACCAAAAAATGCAACTGATCCCTGTGCGTATCGGTATCCCCAAGTATTCGTAATACCAATACCAAAATATCGATATCAAAGTGCAGCGCAGGTATCGAGTATCGACGTTACTGTGTTGTGTACAGTAACAGTACCAGTTACCAGACTTGATACATTCTGTGTCCATCACGTCGTTAAACAAATATCTAGATGGAACTGGAACTAGTATTTTAGAAAACCGGTAACTGTTACGTTACGTTATATGCTCATACCTATTACCAAATACTTGTTCCTAGTATTTCGTATCATCTCTAACGAGGATAATACATTAAATTAGAGGATAAATTAGAGAATAAAATGATATATTACCTGGATGTTTTCTTTTCACATGTGCCGTTAAGTTTGAAGATTTCGAAAAGTTTATATAACACTTAGTACAACGATTCATTTTCTACTTACACAAAAAACACAAGAGTTTAAATTATAAATACAAAACTAAATTTATAATATTTCACAACAGTCAAAAACCACACTTAAAAGTATTCACACCACCGCCACAGAATATTAGTTATACGCAAATATTGAAATTCAAACAGAATCAACAACCAAACATCCGACACAGTGTCTCAAGTACCTACGATTGCGCGAAGCTGTGGATTTTATACCAAACTCTCCCAAAATGTAATTAATATCGGATGGAGTTTCAAAAAGCGAAATAAAAATCCTAATATTAAACAGCATTGTGACCAGGTACAATATCTGACTGTTATGCAAATTAGTAGGTAATTAGAAAGTCAGTATGGGCAAAACCAGCTTATTCAAATTATAGGTACCTACCTATAATCTTGTATTGAAGGATTTTAATTTATTACCCTTAGCATACGTAAAGATTTTCAAGAAATTAATATCAGGTTCAGTTTTCAATGAAACAAAAATATTTAAGAGAATTGTCAATATGTAAAATACCTACCTAATATGCTCACCCGTAATAAGAAAGTCAAATCGCCAAAACCAGCTTATTCAAATTATAGCTATAGCCTTTTGTTAAAGGATTTCAATTTATTATCCCTAACATTTGTGGAAGTTTTTAAGATATTTATATTTTCAAATTAGAAATTGTTAGTGGGACATCAACTAACAATTAAAAGGTCTTTAGAAAATAAAATTTTTATTGAAACTAATATACTGAATGCAATCTATCTATTAGTTGAATGTTATTTGCGAAAACAATATCCTATGCATAGTCCAGGCTTTTTTGTCACAATCAGCACACTCGTAAATTGTGTTTTTTTCAAATTTAATCCACACAACATATACTACATCGTTTCCTGTCACGTACTGGTTATATTTCAATATTGTTAATGGTCTGACAACATTCCATCCTCTCTTGGTTGTATGTTGAGTCAAAGTATTGACAAATTCAGAAAATCCTTTTTCGCTCCTCGTAGATTCGCCACTGACTACCCAACGCTTACCTACTCTTCATACAATTTGTATTATCTTATCAAAAAAACCAAGCATTTGCAAGAAAATTGCACTTTCATATAAAAAAAACGAGTTATTTATCTCGTACTTTTTTTAAGCAAGGCGCAATATTTAATTACTTAATATTATTATTAATATTAAAAAATAATATTAAAAGCTTTAATAATATTACCAATATTAAAAACATTAATATATTATACATTATAATATTTATATGAATGAGTAGAAACGATTACATTTAAATTTGGCAAATTGTAACTCCAGTCGACTAGTTAACGAACTTACAAGTACGATTGCGCGAAGCCGTGGAATTTGTACCAAACTCTCGGTCTGTAGATCCTTGTAGCAGCCAATTGCGGTTGGTAGCTAGTTAATCCACTCGCTGCCGATCACGCCTCAGTGCGTATTTAAGTTACTTAAGTTGGGTGCCGATCACACTCGAGCGCAAGAGTCCTTTTAGTTGCAATCAAATGATACAGTTCCTGCGTAAAGATCGTTAATTTTGGTCGGCAGCTTAACTTTTCTCGTAGCTCTTAGGACTGGATACAAGATTTTATAAACAAGCAACATAATTCGTAAAAAACTCAACATTCAGTGTCTCTTTTATCACCCACGCTCTGTTGAACGTATTAAAAGTTGCAGTTTTCGAGGTGATGTTAAAATAAGTGAATTTATGACGAGAAGACTGAATAATAATAAATTGATTTTTTTCTTTAGGAATATTAAATGAAATGAAGAAATTGTTCATATTTGGATTAGTACCCAAGCCGAACGCTACTATTGTACATTTTTTACTAGACAATTAAATTAATTGAGATGAATCGTTGATTAAAACTTAATCAGAAAAGTAAAATGGAGTTGTTTTGTGCTGATTTGATGAGGTCGGTTTAATAGTAATCATACTTGATTTTTTGGTGACCTGGGTCACGTTGTCGTCTAAAATGTTTTTAATTAGTAAAATTAATAGTCTATGAGAAGAGAGTATGTTGTTAGTCCTCCTATTCATTTCAGAGGTATTGTGGAGAATATTCAAAGGATTCATAATAGGTGAGCAATCGATTAGTCCGTTTGAACAGAATGGATGTCATCAATAACCTGCTCAGTTGCATAAAACAGATTAATATTCATAATTTCTTGCAAATCATAATCTTTGAAGTTTATATTTTGTGGTAATTTGTTTTTTGTTGATCTTTCATTCCTATATTGAAAGAGTTTGTCTCAAAAATCAGTCATTTCTTTTAGGGATGCAGTATTATCTGTGTGGCGATCTTCTAGTGGGATTTCCATTCTTATTAAGTGCTCCAATTTTACCATTTGTTCCCAATTCAATATTCCCCATGCAACAGAGTTAATTTAATTATTACATATTCCACATATCAATTTTTCAGATTGAAAATGGCGATTAAAACATTTTGAAAAAACAGATCACTAAGCTTATCTGATCTTAATCAGCAATTTCTGAACAAATTTTAGATCCAGAAGCGAATGTATGCTTTTGGAGATTCTGTTTTGTAATGGCATAATGTC